TTCTCGTGCTGCAAGTAACGGTGTGCTGATCATAAGACGTAGGATTCTGGACACCATGTTCAGTAAACTGATTCACCGCTGTGTTTTTATCACAAAATGATTACTCTCTTTGTTGAGGACTGGGAAAATTTGGCAGTCATACTTACTTCCCATACATCCGTTAGTACTTCAGTTTGTCTACCTGATAGTCATCGACTACCTTCTTTAAAAACCACTGGTGCAACCCCACCAAGGCCGATTATCCTTCATCTTTTCAAGTTATTTACGAACTTTTTAATTTCCGCAAGAGTTGGAGGCCTTATTTCAATGTCCCATTCTCGACCTGACTACATAAAAGGTGATGGAAGAGTAACTGGAAGTCAGCTGAAGCGTTCTGCCTATTGTTTCAGTCATCTATCCTGTGAATGGATTGGAGACTCATCCTTCCCCCTCCCCCTGTTGTCCCATTAACCATCAATAATTTGCTCCAGTTTCCTTAACCAGGCTAGATAACTGTCTGCTGTTACGTATCGCCAATGCCTTTCACTATATGCTACTGCTCACCGTCATCGCACAGACTTCTCATCACTCTACATTTCAGTTTCCTAAGCTCTTCGTCGTGCTGGGAGTTTTTAGAAGTGCGTTCGTATGCATCTACTGATTCAGGAGAAGCTGCTGAGATCGATTAACCATTACTTACCTCTTTCTGGTAGTCATTTATGACTTCTTACATTGCTTTTGCGGAGGGGTGGAGATAGCACCAGACTTCTTCAGAATGGGTGAAGTTGTCTAACCAGTTTGTCTTTAAAAGCAACCTTAGATTCGTCATCACTGAGATCGGCTCGGTAAGGTATTCCAGTTGCAGTTTCCCTATATGCATGTACCCGAATCGACGCGTGGTCACTGTCCAAGTTCATGCTACAGGACGAGTGGCAATATTCCGCCGACCTTCTCTAGCAATAACTTACAGCATTATCATACTCCTCATCCATAGGTGAGTTGAGGTCGGCGGACGCTACGTCAATGTTTCTCTTAATATCTGAAGTTCGTGTTGGTTGTCTGAGCACACTTGTAGCGCGTGATCACCGTTCGTTTGGCTGGGATTTCTAAAGTGCTACGCAAACGCATATATAATTGGCTTAGGCTTCCTGCATGTGCAATGAAATCACCCGCTACGAAAGCACATATGAACGTTTGGTTTTTCGTACGCGACTGGATAGTTTTCGGTAAAACTCACCTTCTAATTTGTCTGAATCGCAGTTAATGGGTGAGATAAAACAGCAAGTTTTACCATTTTTTTCAGCCCTAACTGAATTATTTAACTGAATAGTGCAAAAGTGACTGTCAACTGAGATCCAATTCAGCCTTAGGACTTAACACTACACCTGCACTTGTAATGACCACGAGAACTAGGTGAGGAATCTGAGAAAACGCGAAGAGTGAATAATCACATTTGGATCCTGTAAGCATGTTTTGAAAACCAGAAATAGATTCATTCATGATGCACAATACCACAGTTTCGACTAGGGAGGATTGTTGTCTAAATTGAGGAAAGGTGGGAACATTGAAAGCTTCTATATGTAGTTTGTAGCATTGCTTTATAAGACCGGGGACGCTATTCCATGAACTAGAATCACTGTCATGAAATTTAGAGCTGGAAGAGATTAGCAATGACACGGAATTATTATATGAAGCTATGAAGAAATATTAGGGGACGATAAGGAAGGGTTATGGTGATTAGAAAGGACTTGTTTGCTAATATAGATGTGAGGGTAATTGACGCTTACCGGCTATCAAAACCATTGGAGGTTACTTCTTTTTCTTTTTAGTCACCATATGTACACCCATGAAGTGAAACTTTAACCTCAGAGCCCTCATCACAATTTAAGCTATTGAGACAATGACGGTAGCTGCAAGCATTGTGAGACCTCAGCGAACAGTTGCTCCAAGCAACAGGGTTCCCTGTGGCCTTCATGACCCATAACTACGCAAATGCAGCAGGTATTCAACAGAACACTTTTCTATACCATTCAGACCAACAACTAGAGACTTCATAAGATCATTTCATGTCTTAAATAGGCCTACACTGACTTAACCCAAACAATAGACGGCAGTAATTACCGGGTGTAATCATGCTTAAAATGTGGCATAGCCAATTCAGTTAATGAAAATTCGCTACCTCATCAATTGACTTGCTTATTCGACTTAATATTGTATACCAAATATTCTTTACTGATCACATGGTAATTTCACCATTCTTATCGCTAATAGATTTTACAACTGGGAATATATTAATGGGATAGCTAATATGTGTAGAAATACTACGTTTAGTAAGTCAGCATTTGAAGTAAGTTCCTCTCCTTAACATCATCGCTTCACAAAATGATAAGACAGGAGATTTTATTATGAACATATTCAGTCAACACGAAACTAAATAAAGCATCCCATGGAAAGGACCGCGCTTAACTAAGCAATTGTAGGAAGAAGTTGAATTAAATGACTACAGTAATATGGACTTAATAGTCGAAATAAGTAATTCTTAAAAATGTTAAGATGAGTCAGTTGAAGAATCACTGAAAACTAAAGGATACTGTTTAGTCGACTAGCTTGAGAACCCACAGTATTGTTCATCAACAAACCCTGAGGAGGGTCAGACTGCATAACGAGCTTTTCGACATCTAGGTTAGCATGTTATCACTCGCATTCTCCAGCATGGTAATATAAAATGATTTTAATAGTTTTTCTCACCTCACTAATATTTCTGACTTCCTTCTTTTCTCTGCTTTTTCATGTTCATTCAAGCAGTTAACACTGATGTTTCATACATTGCGCACAGTGATAAGTCCAAATCGATCAATACTGCATAGTGTACGATATATCCGACTATCTGTTAAAGGACGAGTATGTGGCGCTACTGTCTGTCCTCTCTTATTATACGGCTGTAGGACATGGCCATTCAAAGTAGAAAACACGAAGTAATTACAGCGTTTTGATCACAGGTATCTTTACAGCATTGCTCACGTTTGATGTAATCACCAGGTGAGCAATGTTGAAGTCAAGCAAAGGGTACTATGCACGACAAGTAAGTCGGTTGTGAGACGGCTTAGACATATGTTTTGCATGCCTAGCCACCATCTACCTCGGCGTGATATGCTAAGGGGGGTTCATAATGGCCACATCAAAACGTGGGACCAGACGATGAAGTGTTTTACTACTGGTTTTAGTCGTGTGAGGCTGGGGTCTCCAAGACTATAGGAATCAGCAGTTGAGGACTCTTGATAACATGGATGAAAATCTGTTAAAACAGCGTCTTCTAAAGCTTAAATATTTGCACTAATCTTCTTCTTGAAGTTGTTTATCCTTTGGCACAACTTTGTTTACTCTGATATCACTCTCTCTTTTTCTATCCACTTGTATTCTTTGTATGGTATTATGAAGTAATGACAAGTCAACCATCCCACGAATTAAACACAATAAACATGATAACTAGGAGGATTATATACATACAATTTCTTCTGTCTTTGTCTAAAAATACAAATCAATCACTCTTTTTGTGCAAATAGTAGGCTTGATCATAAGTATTGCAAGTAAAGGGGAAAAAAAGGGAATGAGAGAAGGTTTTTTTAAAAAGAAAAGCGTGTAAAAATAACTACACTTCATGAAGATGACAAGAGGAGGAAATACCATTAAGAGAGATTTTCTTTTTGTTGTTAGGCACATTTGAAGACATTCAGAAATATTTGAGCTAGGCAATAAATAAACAAATGCATAATCGCTGAAAGTAAACAATAGTCATTTAGCTATACGAAAAAAGAAAACAAGATTTTTCTATATATAAACTGGAAAAACGACAGATCAGTTGAATAAGTAAACCATAGGAGTAGACTAGAAAAAGGAAAATCATAGAGAAAATGTCAACGTAAAAGAAAACTCATAAGGCAGTAAGTAAAGTGTAGAGTGATTGAAAAAATTTAGTACACTAATCCAACAGCATAAAGAAAACGGTTAATGATAAAGCTATTAGGAAGGTGCAATATATATATATATATATATATCATTGTGTTAAAAATAACAGTAGTTGTGTATGAATTACGTTTATGGAATGCATGATATATTATTTCTTGGCTAGGAAATATTACTAAGATAACCTCATTTGAGTAGTATTAGTAAGTGTAAGTGATTTTTGTTGTTGTTGCAAGAATCGAATAAAAAAAGCAGAGGAATAGCCGGCATACACACATCTTAGATAAACATAATAATAGTAATAGTAATAATAATAATTATTATTATTATTGTAATAGTAATTAAAATAAAGAGAATGGCGTTGTATAAACTAGTCTCTGAGAGATTGCACTCACAGCACCGATTGTTGATCTGCCCTAAAATCATTTCATATCCGACCTAACGTGTTTATGATAATAATACTACCATTACTACTATTACTACTACTACTACTAATAATAATAATCAAGAAAATCACTCATCCTGATAACAGTTGAACAGCACTGTAGATTTTTCACCTAAATCTATGCTATATATATATATATATATATATATATATATATATATATATATATATATATATATATATACGTGTGTGTGTGTGCGTGTGTATAGTGAGGGTATCATCGAGATTAGAAATGGTGAATAATGATAGGCATAATGATAAATAAGGCAAAAGAACACGATGATTCATTGAAATTCACATATACACCAAAATGAAATATGTACATATACATTAAAAAAAAATTTAAACTATTTCTACCAACAAGCAGGTTATGTTCCACTCGTTCACTATTAGATAATCATAATTGATCTAAATGATAAGTAAACAAATCAATCAATATATACTAAGTGATAATTGAAGATTTGAACCACAAAAGGATTTGGATAAAACGATCGCTGAGGTTACTAATCCAGTGCTCTGCTAACTGAGTTATAAGATCCACCAACTGCTGCTGATTAAATTTCTTATTTCACCTTCAATCATCAATAAATAGACATTTATGTGTGTGTGTGTGTTACACATTTGTCACTCCATCCGTACGATTAGTTGATGGGATAATAATATTATTTGAAGGTAAACTAGACGGTACAAATGCTTGTAATTCTTCAGGTTTAGCTGAATTCATATCTTCATAAGCTACATAATGTTTAGATAATGATTTAGAATTATTTGTACAATTAGTATTATTCATTATAGCGTTATTAGTACTATTATGATTATTATCACTTAGTACAGTATTCGACTGACTGATAGTACACGATGTATTTGGTATACAAGTAGTAGGAGTTATTGTCGTCGTAGTGGTAGTGATAGTAACAGTAGAAATAGTTGTAATATTATTATTCAAATTTTTATCATTATTCATATGATCCATACCATCATCAGTAGAAGCAGCAACAGTATTGTTAATTGAAGAAAAGGCTGTAGTCAATGATGACTTTTGTAAACGATCAATATGACGATTCCAAGCATTTTGATACATATCATGACCATCAACTGAATTTGAGCCAATCATACCAGCAATATTACTGAATGATTTAGTCTCATTGAATTTCTCTGATAAGCTGATAGAATACTTACCAAGAGCATCACCAGCTACAAATACAAATAGAAGTGAGGCAGTAGTATATATATATATATATATATATATATATATATATATATATATATATATGTATTCTCAACGACGAAAATTTACAAGCTATCGCATTCAAACCATACTATTACTTATCGTACAAGCTGTGAATATTGTAACTCAGTAGTCTAGTAGATAACGAACTAACGTTTGAAGCGATTGGTTCTTGATTCGATTCTTAGCGGGGAAACTATCATTCAGCTGATAGATTATAAACAAGGCGAAATGAGCATCATGGATTCCATTGCTAATCACTATTCTTCAACAGTATACATCATGTGTACAGCTATGCTTCATATATGTTGCTGAATCACAGAATAACTTTATTGTCCGCTTCTTAACTCAGTGTTTCTCTTGAAGCAAATGAGTGAATCATTTGTATATTATCCCATCGACAGATAACCAACGAACCAAGGGGAATAACTTTATGTATTAGTAAATAGTGTTAGCATTAAACTGTCCGTTAGACTCTACGTTTACTTCTCTGCTTTCTTAATGCAGGTCAGAGAAGAACAAAAATATGGAGAAAGATAAGTTTACATATCTATCATTCCATTGATCATGGTGACTAGCAGAGGAATCCAGGACTCGGGTTTCATCCTGTTTGTGACTCGTCAGTTGGATGTACTGCACCACATTGAGTGTTGTTCCCACTGAGGCTCGAATCCAGTACCCTTCACAACCTCGTTCCACAAGAGATGGCTATCGTGCCTCAGTAACTTTATGGATAACGCTCTGGCGTTTAAAGCGAAGATTACTGGTTTAGAGCCTCAGTAGGAACAACATCACTCTGCACTGGGGTGCAGGTACATCCAACTGACGAGACGCATACAGGACGAAACGCACATCTTGGATCCATCTGCTGGTCATCAAGATCAATATAACATTATGAATATCCGGCAGTATCATGGCATCCACATAGGAGCCAATCTGCCAACAGAGGTAGAGCGATTCCACCTTGTATAACAACAGTAAATTACAAGTATCATTACAATATGTATGGTTCAGTTATTTTCATTGGTAGGTTATGCCTGTCTCCCTGGTTATCTATCCATATTACTGGAAAACGACATAACCTAGATTGCATAAGCTGAGTACAGAATTCTTACAAAGGATTAAAAGCATTAATTGGAAAACAATGAATCGATGATCTCCTTCAACTTCACAGTATTGTACAAATCAATCGAACTGCAACTGGCCAAGAATACTATATCTTTCCTCCTCACTGAAGATCCAAGTCTTTTAGAATGTACAAAACTTCAATGTTGGGGTCTGATGGAACTCAATGATCTTTGTCTAACAATATACTTTCAGTTAAATGGCAACATATACAAACGGATGAAAGGAATAAATTGTAGAAATAGTGATGCAGAGATTGGAAGCCATCATTTTACCCGTGATGATTCACTGTGGGGATGATACTTTTGTCATTATCGAACAAAAGATGATTTACAAAACAACGTTTTTAACGTTTTTTCAATGCAATCAAATTCACAATAGAGAAGGAGTCAGTCAACCAACTTCCATTCCTGGTTGTTTTGATCAGTACAACCATTACCAGAAACTTGTAAACTCAGTTATATAACAAGCCAACAGACAGTGACTGAACAAATTCTCAACTACATTATCAACAATCCAACAACGCACAAACCTAGTTGCGTACAGACTCTACTCAAAACAGCAACAACACACTGCAATACAACAACTTCACGGAGAAACGAAAAAAGGTTATTTGATGTCTATCCTAAAGAAGAACGGTCAACCCTGAAACTTTATCAGATGCATCATCAACTGTGAAGTCATCGACAGAAATCAAAAAACGCATCATCCTACCATACATACAGAATATATCAGAAATCAAAACAACATTACTCAGATCACTTCCAATTGGCTTGGCCACTCATAAACCAACAAATTCCCTACAAACACTATTATCCACACCAAAGGATGCAACAACTAAAGGAGCCAAACCGAATATCATTTACAAAGTCAACTCCAATAACGATAGTCAACACTACATTGAACAAAGTGGTCACACTCTTCGCCTCCGTCTACATGAACACCAATTAGCTATTAAACATCACACACGACATTTCATCACTCGCCGCTCAATCCACGTGGATAACAACTATGGACATGAATTGAATTTTCACAATGTAAAAATATCGGATAGAGAGAGGAAACACAAAGAATATCAGAGAATTCCTATCAGCCTGACATTCACGTCAATCAGTCAGCCAGCAATCAATACATGTATAGATATAGACATAGACCCAGTCCATCAACCAATCAGTTAGAAATAATAAACCACAAAAAGGTCGGAGGTCAAGCAGAGGAACAGCCGACAACAAAATCTATGCAACCAGTCAATCACACAACAATCAAAGGAAACAACCAACCACAAACCAGTTCGTTCCTAACTCATGGAGAGATACTGACAGCTCACTTCATACTGAAGTTAGTGGTGACGATGTTGTCCAGAAAGACAATGAGAGCTTCACGATTAAACAACCCAGCTTAGAGAACACAACACAACCAAGATCATTTACTTGAAATACAAATATTCTTCACGGTTTCAACTAATATCTATTACTGTCGACTTAATATACATAATGGACCGCCATCACTTCAAGAACCATTGAAAACCTGAGAGCACTGGACAGCTGTTTGGTCATTGTATGGGAATCCCCAACAATGCGTACCCACGATCCCACTAGGAGTCGACCTCACAATTTTCAGTCTCCACAGTGAGCAAATTAGCATCGAACAACTGGGTCAGAATCCAATGGTTCATAGTTTCCCACTTCTGTCAGTTTGTGATATATCGTGACCTTTATCTAACGCCATCTTTAAGTATCTGTCTTGAAGTTCCACTTAATTTGTCACCCCCCTTCCGTAAACCGATCACAACTTTTCATTAGAACTTCAGCAAGTCATTAATACTCATTAGATAGTGTATTGCTAATGTATGTTAACTAGCTTGTTGGGAAATAATATTTATCAAAAATCGATCACAGAATTTAATAAATTGATGAATGAAGAAACAAGAATAATCATTTCAAAGAAAGAAAATGAAGTCAGTGTAACTAACATATAGCATTCTAACACAGAGAATAAAAATTGCATTTTTCATGAGAAATGAAAAAGGGATTATGAATAAAGTTTAATCTTACGTAAAGTAGCACGTTGATGTAAGACACTTAAACGTCTAGCCAGTAGATAATGTTCAGCTGAGATTTTCAAATACTGTAAATTAGTACATGCTTTTAAATTATAATCAGGTAGAAATCGTGCTTCAGAAGCTAAACGTACTGATTGAATTGATGGATCCATGTTATCAGACAGATTAGGAAATAATTCATTGACACCTAATTTTGCAAGAGAAAAAAAAAGGTTTTAAGGTATGCTGAACAATAAAAACAAATCTATAAAGCTTAAATTGTTTCAAGTAATGCTTATCTTTTCAATATTATTTAAACAGTTGATTTTTATATTAATTTCATTGTTGAAATGTAATAATCATAAAAAGAGGCGTCGCTGATAAGAATCGATATAAGTAGTATATGTTGAGAGGACGGCAGAAATCATAGGGAATTACCAACAATGGGTAAGGATTTCGTTGAGAGAAATGCAAGGCATAACAAAGGCGTATAAAGAGCAAATCAAGAGAGAGGCAGAAGAGGAAATGAAGCATATTTTGCAAATAATGGTTTCAGTGTAAGGTGTACCGTATTTAACGACTACTGTGTCACTTCTCCTCGGTCTTCCCGTACTTTCAGCGTTTGAACCCGTATCTTCCATGTTACCAGTTGATTGGATAACAAGTCTAAAATGAAGAGAAGCTATTTCCACTCATTTCTACACTCATACGGAAGTTCAATTAAGCATTTTTCAACATTTAATTGTATCTAAACAGATGAGGAAGTGGAAAATTTGCCTGAAACAAACTAGAAATTAATGTTCTCCCATCAACGTCATTGGCTAGTTGTCTTGTTTTACTTTATGTCTATATTCGACCGACTTTTTACGTGTATCATCCATGCGATTCATATCTGAGGATAGATTTGTCACTATTCGGTCAGTGACTAGAGACCAGTGATACTCGATTGGATAATATAAAAAAACTGAGGAGGCTTACTAAGTGAATAGTACTAGACTAAGAAGAAGAAAATATTCAACAGGTATCACGTCTGTCGCAGATCACGTCGTACACTTTGGTAGATGTGTATTATTGGTTAAATTGTCAACGGAACGTTGAAGATACAATTATTATTTACACTGCTGAAGTTTCTTGTAATAAGTTCATTGACTTCTTTTTGTGTATAAGATGTGAACAGTTCCGATAATAAAGGATAAACTTAACACTGAATTAGGGTACGATAAACAATACGTACACATATCGTGTCTTAACAAAAGGAATACTGTATAGATAATACTAAGAGATATAATTTTTTTCGACAATGATGCATCTAAGCAATCTCATCTTCACCTTGATGGTGTCTTTATTACAATGATTTTTTACACCAATCTAATGCAAATAATTGTTGAATGTATTCTAATGCTTGTGATACTCATGGCTATGGTAAGGTGAATGTATAGGATAATGATGCAGGTGACACATGATTTTGCAATCGATCAAAAATACATGAAATATATCGACATTTAATTGTAAAGAATGTAAAATTCCCCTCATCTAATCACTAGGCCTTCTAGTGGAACCTAAATGGGAAACGACAAGTTGGGCATCCGAGAGTGACATAGAGGATATGGTGTGAAGAAGAAATGAAAGGTCATAAGAAGTCCTGGAGCCGAGTTCAAAAGACTGCAGAGAATGAAGTGAAATGGTGACGTGCTACTAAAGCCCTATGTTCCACTAGGAACCTAAAGGACAGATAATAATAATAATCATGATCATTAGTGAAGTTAGAAATTTGAAGTTAGTCAATAATCAGCGGAAGACTGATTCAATTCGGAGGTCTGTGGGGATTTATTGATTTCAAGTTGGTATTCATCATGGCGTGACATCAGTTAAAGAAACATTGAAAACCTGGGAGCACTGCATAACTTTTACAGTTGGTTCCTGAAGTTCCAATGAGAAGTAGTGACCGGTGGGACAAACCTAGTGCCCGTGATAACAAATACTCAACGATGACATTGAGTGATGGTTGCAATATATCTTGAACTGACAGAAATTGGAAATATGGACCATTGGATTCCGACCCAATGGTTCAGTGGTAACGTGCTGGCCGTGGAACCTGAAGGTTTTGGGTTTGATCCCTGGCGGGTTGGAGTCCCGGGTGCGCACACGTGAGGAGTCCCGTATAAGTGGGACAAAATGGCTGTCAAGTACTTTCAGGTTTCCAATGTTGTTTCAACTTATGTCAATCAATGATGGATTCCAACCTAAAACCAACTATAATTGAATTATTGTTTGCTGATATGCTTGTTATTCCATGTTGTCATACTGAATCAAGTCGGTCCATCTTTACTAGCATATGAGCTCGTATGCAGATGTTGCCAAAACATTTACTGTCATGATTAACTTGGTGTTGACTAGCAGTGGAACCCATTACGCGCATTTTGTCCTATTCGGAACTCGTCAGTAGGACGTACTTGTCACTCAGGGGGTGATGGTGTTCCCACTGAAACTCAAACTTCGCACCCATCGCTTCAAACACCAGCATAACGACACGCAATTACAAGTATCAACAAATAATGATAGATAATACTCACTGTAAAACAGGTGGTTTTCGTGCCTCAGTAGCATAGTGGATAACGCCTTGGGGTTTCAAGCGATGGGTACTGGGTTAAAGTTTCACTGAGAACACTATCAATCATCAATGTGCAGGTACATGCAGCTGACGAGTCACAAACAAGACGAAACGAATATCCTAAATTACACTGCTACCCAGCCACTAAGTAAACTACAACGTGTCAAAGGCATGTTCACTCGCTGATATAAGAATTCGAATCCATCGAACTCGATGGCATGCAACGGTTAAACGTACATTATGTATGTTCAACCACGACAACAGTGTTTTCTCAAACGTATATTCATCCTATGGAACTACACTAATGATCATTCTATAGATGATGACGGAAAAGTGGGAAGATATCATCTCACAATAACATAAATGCTACGTATTTATTATACAAGCAGTCGTTGGAACGTTATTGATTTCAGCAGTTACAGCTAGAGCTCTTCGCTGTTGAAATGTTGAATGCTACTGTGCACCAACTGTATCGTTAATCAACCCTAAAAACTTAGGTCTATGGTCGATGAAATATACTTTTCACCACTTCTGACTATTTTTAAGCTGTGGCATAGATCACTAGTCTAGGGGTACTCGATTTCCAACCAGCAGGTTCGAGCCCCGCCCAACCTACAGAAAGTTTGGGCAACCAGGTAATATCACTAACTCTGACACGGTAAGTGTGCCTCATTGTCTACTGCACTGCATATGCAGTACATAGTCACTGACTGAATCTCCATACTCCTGACTTTTGCATAGTAGATATATAGAGGATAATGATGTAGTGATATATGATCGATCACCTGTTGATCAAAAACGCATAATCTATGTTAACATTTAGCGTCAATGATGAAAAATTGTAGAATTCTCCTCGCTTCAATATCACTAGTGAAGTTAAACATTTCGAGCTTGATAATAACATGAAATAGTTTCAGTATAACGACTGTATTGATTCTGAATGTGATAACAGTTAGTAAACAATTTGACTGAAAGGAATAAATAATACGTGAATTAATTGATCAGTTATTGTTATTACCGGTGTTATAACCAATCGAAGAAATGAAAGTAGAAATCTTAGACAAACATTATTAGTTGTATCAATTTAAAAGACATTTTCACCTAACACTTATTGGGCAGCTTAATTCAAGAGAAATTTATCAACTTCTTACTGAATTCCATGGTCAAATGAAGCCAGTTTCTACACTTGATAAATCAATTATTTCATTTGTATGCAGTATAGCTCATCATAGACATATGATTCAGTGGTATACAACGATGGAACAGATGGTTAAAAATATATAAAGATAGTGAGCAATTCGGTTCAGTCTTCCGTTTTGCAATGGTAGGAGAAGAAGAGGCTGATAGTTAAAGGGTCCCAGATGAATCGTCTTGCGTTCGGTTAATGTGGCGGAGAAAAACGTGGGATAGAGCGAACCGGCGGTAGTGATATTCGACTGTTAGATAGATAGATAGTCCGTCTTGCATTCAGCTCAGTCGGTAATTCACAGGGGGGAAACATCAGTACTAAATTGAAGTGATATTACTATGTCATATAACGATAGTCACTTGGTATCGTGAAGGTTATAGTTGAGTTTCAGTACGAAAACCAGGTGATTCGAATCGAAAAACTTACTTGATATCCTAACATATCTTCCATTTGATAGATTTAAAACGCACGTCAATCCATCTTCGAGTTTTCCTTAAGGCACTGAGAAAACTGCATTCTACTAGTCTAAGAGGATTATGCTATTTGAGTACAGTATATCAATCAGATCTCCGACACACTCAGTCCCTAGGATTAGCACTGAAAATCAGAGTTCTACTTTCTGCGGACCACTCTACAGACTTATCAAAGTTTATAGGATTTGAAACATACAGATGCATAACTCTCAAGTCGTAGGGGTTTTCCGACGGTATAAATAAGCCCTAGTAGTAAGCAGGATGTAAGATATAGCGTAAATTCGGGGCATTCAGATAAGCATATCCAGATATCTAACACTTAAGCGATGATTTATCGCCTCTCAGTTATTTTTTATTAAAGAATAACGTAACCACTTTGTAATAGTTTTCAGGAAATCATAGTAAAAAAGGCTTGACAAATAGAAAGACGATATCAACATTTACAAAGATCTGTTAGTTATATCACAAAACAAGAAATTCAGCGAAGAGAACTCTTTGTTCAATGAATTAATTCTCAAGCTGTATATTCGTATATGTATATAATATTTAAAGACTATAATCCATGAGAAAGCTTAAAATAAGAGTAGTGTTAGTTATGATAATCATGTTGCTAGTTGATAACATAAAGGTTGAATAATAACAAAAAGGGTTACGTAAGATTTTTAAATCGTTTATGGCGGTGTATATAGGTTAGAAAGGGGTGGAAATATGGTAGAGTTAAACAATCTTCAGGAGTAGGTAATATGAATGAGACAACAGCTTAATTGGAATATATTGAAAATGTGCTGGGGAATATTTGTAGCTCAGGTGGATGGTCTTGGTTGTATTGTGTTCTCTGAGCTGGATTGTTCAGTCATGGAGCTTTCATTATCTTTCTAGACAACATCATCACCACTAACTTCAGTATGAAGTGAGTTGTCAATATCTCTCCGTGAGTGACTTAGTAACTTGTCGTGACGAACTATCTGGTTTGTGGTTGGTTGTTTCCTTTGATTGTTGTGTGATTGACTGGTTGCATAGATTTTGTTGTTGGCTGTTCCTCTGCTTCACCTCTAACCTTTCTGTGGTTTATCATTTTTAACTGATTGGTTGATGGATTGGGTCTATGTGTATGTTTATACATTTATTGATTGCTGGCTGACTGATTGACGTGAATGTCAGGCTCCTAGGAAGTCTCTGATATTCTTTGTGTTTCCTCTCTCCATCTGAGATTTTTACATTGTGAAAATTCAATTCATGTCCATAGTAGTTATCCACGTGCACTGAGCGGCGAGTGATGAAATGTTGTGTCATATTTCTAGATTAATTAGTGAGACTTTTTTCTTAGCTAAACTTCATTTGATCTTTACTAGTCGTAAATTTTTCTTCATTTGTGTAAAAGACAATACCCCTCGACAGGCTCCATCCATGTGTATATACCAGTTCACCTGCACTTGTGGAGCAAGGTAGATTGGCGGGAAATACATTAGATGTTCTATCCTTGAACATTTAGTCGATTCCAACCATCCAACTAACCCAAACAATGATTTTAAGGTTGTCTATCGAATTCGCCCAAAAATCTCACGTTTCTTCTGTCCTCAATCTTTAAAAACAGCAGAGGTCTTGGTTATCCATAAACGGAAGTCTGACCTTTGTGAGCAAAAGAAGTAGGCACAGAACTTTGTCATTACCTTGCCCTTAACTTATTTTCGGCTTGGTGTGCTTCGTTCCGTTTGTGTTCTATCAAGTCCCCTTTTGTCAGATTAATCTTTGTACTCTTCTATCATCATAAACATTACTATTTTACATTTAGTAGTTTCCGTTGTGAATTCGTTCAATCCTTTCAATGATTGTCACTTTTAACAAAAAATTTTCAATTTATTCCAATTAACTTGTTGTCTCATTCATACTACTTACTTCTGAAAGTTTTTTATTAACTCTACTACATTTCCACCCCATTCTTATTCTATATGCATCTTATAAATGATTTAAGAATCTTATATAATCCCTTTTAGTTATCATTGAACCTTAACATCATCAACTAGATACAACCACCACCATTATTGTTATTTCAACCTCGCATTATTTGAATTAAATCTTCCTCATGAATTATATATATATATATATATATATATATATATATATATATATATATATATATATATATATATATATATATATATATATATATATATAATTATTTTTCTCTTGGGTTCCTAGTGGAACATAAGGCTTCAGTAGCACGTTTCCATTGCACTCTCTTCTCTCCAGTCTTTTAAACCTCACTCCACGACTGCACACAAACTTTCATTTCTTCCACACATGATCTCCTCCATGTCACCCTCAGCAGGGATGTCCAACTCGTAGTTTCCCATTTGGATTCCACTCGAGGGCCTAGCCTGGCGCGTGATGTCCCCAATCGGCCTTCTCAGTGTACGCCCAATCCATCTCCACTTTCTTATACTATAAATTTATTGGGTGATAGGTTCTTGGTTGGTTCGTTGTGTGGCCAGAGTTCCTTGTTGCTAATTCTTCCTGGCCATCTGATCTTCAGTATCGAGAGTAAGCAGCTGTTGATGAATGTTTGTAGTTTGTTGGAAATCCTTTTCACAACGCACCAAGTTTCTGAACCATATCGAACCATACATATAGGTAACTAGTTCACTAGTTACTAGACGGTCCTAAGCCTAGATAAAGAAGGAAGACTAGGTATAGGGCTAGCAACCCTACCCCATAAAACCAATCTAACCGCTAAAGAAACTTCAAAGCAGGAATCGGGGAGGCGAAATGACGCCAGTTGATGAAAGCCTTCGGGAAGCCGATCGGCTGATGTGTCTTCAGCGGTCACGCTCACACCACTGTTGCAGGTTTGCAAGGAAGAAAGGGTAACTGCCCATTGATTGGGAGAAGGGCTACCTTGTCAAACCCCCAAACAAGGGAGACTTAAGTCTTTGCAAGAACTGGTGCAGAATCATGCTCCTCTCCCTGTTCACCCCAAGCAAAATATTAAGCCAAATCATCCTGGAGAGACATAGAACGGCAGTCAACTCTTTACCTCAACTTCATCGACTTTGAAAAGGGCTTCAACCGCGTCGACTGACAAGTAGTTTGGCAGGCAGCTGCTTCAACACTACGGCTTCAGTGCCACAAACCTTTACAAACCTCACTCAACAGCTATATGAAGACGTCACATGCCAAGTGATCCACAATGGAAAGCTGAGCTCAGTGACGCCTTTGAAGTGAAGACAGGAGTAAGACAAGGCTGCCTACTATCACCCATGATCTTTCTGATTGTAGTGGGCTGGACCATGCAACAAATCGTGGGGAATGAGAAGATGGGCATACGCTGGCTAGAATGATGAAAAGAGCCTACAAGATTTGGATTTTGCCGTCGATGATTTATGTCGCACAAGCTCAAAGATCTACAGTCATAAACCAACAAGTTGGCAGAAGGGGCGAGGCAGAGAAGCCGGCACTTCAAGTGAATGTAGACAACAACAAGCACCAATCACCATCAACGGGAAAAATCTAAACGAAGTTGTCTCTTTCACCTATCACCTAATCAAGGCAGCATCGTTTCAATCACAGATGGCACAGATGAGGACGTCAAAGCCAGGATCGAAAAGACAGCAGGACAGGTCTTCATTAATCTGAAACCAGTGCACAGATCTACTGCACTCAGTATAAAGCGTAAACAAGATCCAGATTTTCAACACCAATGTCAAGTCCGTGCTTATATATATATATATATATATATATATATATATATATATATATATATATGTCCCATTACAAGACTAAAGGTGAAGTCAGTTGTCTCTGATAGTAATGATAAGCAGATCATAAAAAAAGAAGCTTAATGCTTTTACAGACTAAATGTTAAACCTTCTGTCAAACTAATGTTGGTGATCACCAGTACACAACAACATAAATGTACACATTGACTGTCTTCTCAATTATTCTTCTACAATTTCTGCTACCATACTCTAAACTTTGCATAACTTTTGTTTAGTATTTGTCTATAATCGTAGAATAACTTTATCATTGATGTTTTCGGATAGATGCTTCTACAGGTTGAATTCTTATTGGTTGTTAACTCTTTTAATCTATCAGTGAATGTTTATGTTGTCAAGGTTATTATCAGCATTACTGTCAAATGTTTTGATTGTTTGTTGAGACAGTAAAATGACTCTGTCAATCATCTATCTTCTCTTCTTCACATATCAGTGGTATTAGGGTTAGGGTGGTTGACATTCTGATTAGCGTTTAAAGTTGATACGTTTAAGCGTTAGGTTCATATCGTTGTTAAACTCCTAGGTTATATTTACCAATTATAGAAATTTTACAATGGACTTTTTATTATTATTGCAGATATCGGTATTAATTTAACTCTAGTATCATTAAAGTCATTTGTAAGTTGTTCTCCTAATTTGTTTTGTTTTTTTTTCCTTTCGAATAACTTACGTTTCAGAACAGTTTCACCAAACATAACAAAGGGTCCAGCCTCAAAAATTAATCCTTCAGCACCAATTTCAACAATTGCACGACCTTGAAGTAAAAGAATAGCATAATTTGCCCATTGACCACTATGATAAAGAGTATTGCCTTCTTCGTCTTTTGCACTGAAAGATTTATACAATATCAAGGAAAAAGAAATGCATAATATAAATAATTTAGTATAAAAATAATTTGTAGTGTATATTATAGTTTACAAACTAATAGTTTTAAATATTCCCATTGCAATATAAAAAAAGGGGAGTTGTGGAGCATTCGTTAAAGGAATTGACTTTCAACCAGTGTATTACAGGTTTGAATATCACTCCACCTATAGATATTTGAGCCATCAGATACCTACCTCTTAGACAATAGGTGTGGCTCATTGCCTACTACATAAATGTGTACAAGGTTCCTAAATAGGTTACAATTTTCATAAAAGAATAAAAACTTCGTATTTGGGTGATATCATTCTCATTAACTGTACAATAGTTAGAGTTTAGTGTAGGTTTTGGGGTAATATGAAAAATTGAATTAGACAACTATAAGAAACTCCAAGAAAACTGACCTTTTTCTGAGTAGTCTCATGTAACATATAGACTGAAAGAAGATGTATAAAATCAGGTTACTTCAAACTACTGAGACTTTAATGATAGGTGGATATATGTGAAAATGGTTAAAAAGAAGTACAGGTGAGTAAAAATGGAACAGTAAGGAAGGTTGAGAATGAAAACAATGAAAACTTGAGGGATAAAGGTAACAGGGGATTACATGATACTATCATGAGCCATCATTTTACATACCACTATTCAAAGACTATTCGAAATTGAAAGTCGATATGCACTCAACGATCATTTGTCGGTTCGTACAGTAAGCTCAGAGCAACGCCTATCGTGTAAGGGTTGATGATACTACCTGTTTGCGGACATCCTAGTAGGTGGAGTGGGTTTTGAACCCATGGACCGCTAATTGGAAGTCAATTGCATAATCCAATGAGCCACAGCTCAATAATTCAATGACTAGTACTATTTCATTGACTGTAACTCAGAAACGCATTCTTCTGCATACCATTAAGATTCCCTTATACTATTTGTACTCAAGTTTCGATCTAGCCTATATTAAAGTTGTCTGTAACTGAGTTCCCAATTGATATAACATAACAAAATAGTTAGGTGCATAAATAATCATCTGAGTAGACAACAGTCGTGATAAATAACGCTTAACCTGCATTCAAAACTCCCTCCCCCCTAAGAGGGAACTTGACTTCGCAGTTTAACCATATATTTGAACGTTAGTTTAGACATATCAGTGGCTAAATGAAAGAGAAATCCTCACCCTATTTACACTTTCCAACTACTTTTCAAAGCTTTACAATAGAGTATAAGTGAATGGTATGCTTAGCTACAGATGGACACCTGTTACTACCACAAATACAAGAATTTGTCACAGGCTAATACAACTCCAAATCTATTTACAAAAGCATTATGCCAACTTTGGAAACTTTAAGAAATTTCAAGTTTGCATTCATCGTGGACTGACATCAGTTGGAGAAACATTGGAAACCTGGGCAACTGTTTCATCCTAGTATGGGATTTCCTCAAGAGTGCACAATCATGACCCCGATGCGCCAACGATCGTATCCAGAACCTTCAGGTTTCATGGCCACCACGTTACCAGAGTCACTGGATCGGAATCCAATGGTCCATATTTCCTACTTCTGTCAGTTCACGATGTAGCGCGACCATCACAGAATGTTATCGTTGAGTATTTGTCCACACGGTCAACAGGTTCGGCCCACCGGTCGCGACTTCTCACTGGAACTTCGGGAATACCTGTCGAAGCTAGTCCTGCGTGAGCAGTAGATTAATTCAATAGCGGGGTTGGTGGGGGGTTTAAAGATTTTTCGAGCTGGCATTCATCATGGACTGATATCAGTTGATGGTCACGGTACCTCATGAACCGACAGAAGTTGGAAATATGGGCCATTGGATCCTGACTCAGTGGCTCAATGGTAACATGCTGGTCACGGAATCTGGAGATCTTGGGTTTGTACTGTACTAAGGAGTTCCATACTACGACGAAACAGTTGTCCAGTGCTCCCAGGTTTCCACTGTTCTTTCAACTTATATCATTGCATGATGAATACCAAGTTGAAATCAATAAACCCCCACAACCACCTCCCCCTCCCAAATTAGACTTTAAGAAATACTGAGAACAATAGCATTAACTTACAACCCTCTCCCCCCTTGGTTAACATGATTATGACATCTATAAAATCAAAGAATCCAATGGGTATAGGCAATCTCATACTCCAGAAGACTAATCACCTTTTTAAGTAGCTGAGGAATAACAGTTTAGACTATAGCAGTGGATCATATAGTTTCAGATCTCTGAGGGAGGGATGGGAGTGGGGGAACCAGTATCCTTGAGACTGTAAATATGCTTTGTTAACTAGTTTCAATAACCAAAAAGGGTAGATATTTACAAATTCCTATCGATAACCTTCAGATACTTAACACTTACAACAGAATTCTATGTTAAATATAAATTCTTGAGAAATAAACAATAAAAATCGTCCACTCTCATGGCATGACATTTTTTTAAAATAAGCTTCATAATCATACTATTATTAATACAATTCACAATCGCTATTACTGTAACTACTACTTCTGTGAAGGAGAAGAGATAATTCGGCGAAGAAAATTTTCTTTTTCGACGATATCATTTTCTAAAGCTGTACAATCGTATTTATATATATATCATAAACATAAAACAGTCTACTATAAAACAATAGGGTATAATTACATCATTAACCTAATGCTAAAAAACCCGGAATCAAGAATGTAAAGTAGTTGCGTAATAAACTAAGACAGTAATGGAGAATATTTGTAGCTCAGATGGATGGTCTTGGTTGTATTGTGTTCTCTGAGTTCAGACCCAATCTATCAACCAATGAGGAAATTGGTAAACGACAGAAAGGTTAGAGGTCAAGCAGAGGGACAGCCAATAGGAAAATCTATACAGTTAATGACACAACAATCAAAAGAAACAACCAATCACGACAAGTTACTAAGTCACTCACGGAGAGATATTGACAACTCACTTCATACTGAAGTTAGTGGTGATGATGATGTCTAGAAAGACGATGAAAGCTCCACGTCTAAACAACCCAGTTCAGAGAACACAATACAACCAAAACTAAGACAGTAGAAATAACTAGGAAGGTAGGGAGTGTGACAAGGTGAAAATTGTTGGTAGATAAGAAACGCAAATATTGAGTGTCCACTTGACAGATAGGTGTAAAGAGGGTGAAGAACGAGACAAGGGCCATAATGAAGGTGATAATAATAGACTAATTAATTATAATGAAATCGAAAAAAATGAAAGTGTTAAGACTGTGGTTAGATGAGAGATTGAACATACTTCTTTTGCACACAGAGATCAAGCTTGAATTAATGAATTGCCAGTGCTTCCACTGTGCACAACTGTCGAAGGCGTACTCCTTTGGAACTATTCCATCTGACACGATAAATGACACTGAAGGAGGATTCCAGTCTAGCTTTATGTCTAGAGTTGACTAAATGTTGAAGAATTAAACATTATGGTCCTTGTCTCATTCTTCACCTACTTTACATCTATCTATCAAGTGGACACTTAATATTTGAGTTTCTTATCTACTTCTGTGAACTTATTAGGTATTCTACTTTTTTATATATATTCTATGAAGTGTTTTTACCGCTGCAAAATACAGCTATAAATCCAAGCCAGAAAATGATTTACACAATACTTATAAGTATTACGTGCTTAAAAATTTACAAGGATACATATATTAGAAAAGTGTTGAAGAATAAACAACAAAGAAGACTAGTCAATGATAGGCAACGCAGTCTTATATTATATTTTATGTAACTCTAACTATAAACATGGATAAACGCTTCTAGAAATATCCTATCTGGAGGTTTATTAATTGATTTTAGGTTAGAATTTATAAACTTGATCTAGCACTCATTGATGACTAGCTTCGAGAGGTGATTCCCCCACAGTTCCAATGAGAAGTCATGATCCGTGGTGTCAGCCAAGTTGGAAATGAGGACAGTTACTCAATGACGACATTGGATGTAGATCAAGCAATATCGTGGAAGGTGGAAGGCCATGAAGGTCCTCCGTTTGACCCCTGGTGGGGGGGGGGTCATGGGTGCGCACTGCACTAGGACGAAACAGCTGTCTAGTTTTCCCAGGCTTCCAATGTTCTTTCAATTGATGTCAGTTCATAAGCAACCCTAACCTTAAGTTCTCCAGAAATAGTAAGAAAAAATCAAACTTAATCCGGTGGATAAATCCATCTCTCTTGTAACATTCAGATGCATAACAACAATCTGTGTATAGGGAAAGGATTGTTTATTTACTATTAAAGCAGTAATTGATTTCTGTTTTCAAGATAATCCTATCTGTGAATAGATCTTGATATTAGCAAATAAACTATGTGAGCGAAGAAAAATATTCCTTTTCAGTTAGTTACTCATCAATGGCTCTACACTAATGTATATGTATTACTATTGTTATTTGTCCCTTGGGTTCCTAGTGGAACATAGGACTTCAGTAGCACGTCTCCATTGCATTTTCCTCTCTCCAGTCTTTTAAACCTCACTCCACGACTGCCCACAAACTTTCATTTCTTCCTCACACCATCTCCTCCGTGTCATTCTCCCATGTCCAACTCGTCGTTCCTCATTCTGGCCCCACTCGATGGCCTGGTCTGGCGCATGATGTCCCCAAATGTTCTTCTCAGTGTATGTCCAGTTCAATCAATCCCCACTTTTTTATCCATATTTGTTGGGTGATAGGTTCTTGGTTGGCTCGTTGGCAGCCAGAATTCCTTGTTGCTTATTCTTTTTGGCCTTCTATTCTGATCTTCAGTATCGAGTGAGCTTAGGCAGCAGCTGTTGATGAATGTCTGCAGTTTGTTGGAAATGCTTTTCGTAACGCGCCAAGTCTCTCAACTATGTAAGAGCACTAACTCACTTGACATTAGTGTTGAAAATGCGGATCTTGTTCACGCTTTATACTGACTGCAGTAGATCTCTATACTGATTTCAGATCAACGAAGGCCTATCATACTGTCTTTCTG